CGTTGTGGTTTTGATTTGTATTTCCCTTATGATAAGGGATGTTGAGCATTTTTTTCATATGCTTTTTTGCTTTCATATCTTCCTTGGGGAGTTGTCTGTTCAGCTCATTTGCCCATCTTATATTTGACTGATTATTTTCTTGCAGGTAACTTGCAGGTAAGCTGCTTGAGTTGCCTGTATATTCTGGTTATCAGCCCCTTCCTTATTTGAGGCATAGTTTGCAAAAATATACTCCTCCACTCTGCTTATTTATTTCGCTGTGCAGAAGGCTTTTAGCCTGATGTAACTCTACTTGTCAATTTTCAGAATTATTGTCTGTGCTCTAGGGGTCTTATTTAAAAGTATTGGCCTACTCTGATGGCTCCAAGAGGTTTTCCCCAGTAGTTTTATACTTTGAGATGTTATGTTTAGATACTTGATTCATTTTGAGTTGCTTTTTATTAATAAGAAAGAGGGGTCCAGTTTTATTTTTCTGTAGGTGGATATCCAGGCTTTCCAGCACCATTTGCTGAAGAGAGTTTCTTTTCCTATGTTGTCTTGTGCCCTTTGTCAAAAATCAGTTGGCAAAAAAAAAAAAATCAGTTGGCCAAAAAAAAAAAATCAGTTGGCCAGGGGACAGTTGCTGGACTCGCATGTAGTTGACTACAGTTTGAGTCCTGAACCCAGTGGCTTAAAACTCACACTGGGCACATGTGTATACATGTCTAAGATATCAACAAGAAAATGGAGGAGAAGGGATTTCAGCATAGCCATCCCTTCTGGGGCGGAGGTGGTGATTTTTCACTTTGTGTGTGTGTGTGTGTCTCTCTGGTGAGAACACAAGCCCTATAGCAAAAATTTCTCTAAAAAATTAGCTGAATGTATGTTTTGGAGTTTATTTCTGGGGTGTCTATTCTGTCCCATGGGTCTACATGCCCATTTTTTGTGCCAATACTATGCCATTTTGATTATCACAGCTTTGTAATATGTTTTGAGGTCAGGAAGTCAGATGCTTCCTACTTTTTGCACAGTATTGCTCTGGCTATATGGGGCCTCTTATAATTAAAATTTTATGATTGTTTTCTCTGTTTCTGTGTTATATATCTCTTGTAGTTTTATAAGAATTGCATTTACCTTGTAAGATTAATTTGGGTATTGACAACCTGATTACATTAATTTTCCAATCCAGGAACATGGATGTCTTTCCACTTTTTTTATTTATCATTTTAAAAGTGTTTCATATTTTTCCTTGTAGTGCATTTTATTTTTTTCTTCTTGGGTTAGGTTTATTCTCAAATAAATCTATCATGTATTCGAGGCCATTATAAATAGGATTACTTTCTTTGATTGTTGGTGTATAAAAATACTATAGATTTTTGTATGTTGATTGTGTGTCCTTCTACTTTACTGTATTCATCTATCACTTCCCAGGAGATTTGTGTATATATTTTTTGGGGGTTCTAAGTAAATAATCATATCATCTGCAAAACAGATAATTTCACTTATTCTTTTCCTATTTGATTCTCCTGTATTGGCTTGGGGTTCCAGGACTATGCTGAAAAGGAATGGAGAAAGTGGGCAGGTTTGTCTTGGTCCAGTTTTTAGGAGAAGGGTGAAAGCTTTTTCTCCAGTATGATGTTAGGTATGGTTGTTATTGTGTTGAGAAATGTCCCTTCTGTGCTGATCTTGCTTGGTCTTAAGCATGAGCAGGTGTTGTTTTGTCAAATGCTTTTTCTGAATCAACTGAAACGATCATATAGTTTCTATCTTTCTGTCTATTAATGTGATGTATTACATTTTTTGTGCTTTGTACATGTTGAACCACCCTTTCAGCCCTGGAAAAAACCTAGCTAGTTATGGTGTATAATCTTTTTAATGCAGTTTTGGATATGATATGCTAATATCTTGAGAATTTTTGCATCTGTATGCATCAGGGATATTGATCTGTAGTTTACTTTCACTCATAGTATTCTCTCATGATCTTTTGTATTTCTGTTATGTCTGTCTTATCTGGTTCTTTTCTCTATTCTTGACTCATCTATTGGGTTGTCCAAAAAAAGTCAATGCATTTTTGCATAAAAAAACATACAGGAAATATGTCACGACTTTTCCAACATCCCACTAGTGTGTCAATTTTATTTGCAAAGAACCAGTTTCTGGTTTAATTTATCTGGTCAAATCTTTATTACTTTTCTCCTGATATTTTTGTGTTCCTTGGTTGTCTATTTGCAACCTTTTTATTTTTTTTTTCTTGTGTGTACTAATTGCTATGATTTTTCCTTATGTAACTGCCTTTGCTGTGTCTTATAGGTTATTAAAAACTCGTTTTTTCACTAGCAGTGGTTTCCATGAATCTTTTTAGTTCAGTATTAATGTCCTCTGTGGTTATGAAGTTATTCGGGAGTAGGTTGTTTTGTTTCCATGTATTTGTGTATTTTTTAGAAGTCTTTCTGTAATTGATTTCAAGTTTGAATCTATTGTGATTGAAGGAGATGTTGGATATAAAGGCTTTTTTTGTGTCCTATGATGTGGTCAGTCTTCAAAAGCATTCCATATGGAGGTGAGAAAAGTGTGTAGTTTTTGGTTGTGTAAAATGTTCTATAGAACATTTCTATAGATGTCTTTGGTCAAGTCCATTTGATTTATGGTACCATTTAGATCTTGCATCTCCATTTTTGGTCTAGATGATTGTCCAGAGGAGACAGTGTTGCAGTCCATCTAACAGTCTCTCTTTCATGTAGTTGGGTGCTCCAGTGTTGGGTGTGTAGATAATTATCAGCGTAACATCTTCTTGGTGAATTAGCCCCAGTGGTACAATCTGGTGTTCTTTCTTGTCTTCCTCTTTTTACAGTTTTTGTCTTGAAGTCTATTTTATCTGATAACAGTATCATTATCTAGCCTGTTTTGGATTTCCATTTTGTATGGGATAATTTTTTCCAGCCCCTCACCTTTATGTGAATCTTTAACATTCAGTGTTGTAGATATTTGTATCCTTGCCATTTTGGGGGGTTCTCTTATTTCTGTTTCTTTCCTTAGTTTTCCTGATACAGTGCTCCGTTCAGTACTTCTTGAAAAGCTGGTCTACTGTTGGTGAATTCTTTCCGTTTCTTTTTACCTGAGAATGATTTTATTCTTCCCATTTGAAGGATAATCTTGCCAAATATAGTGTTCTTGGTTGAAATTGGTTTTGTTTTATAGTCTTTCCTTGCCTGCATATAGGTCTGATGTTGGCATAATAGGTTAGCCTTTATAATTTGATGTTTCTCTCTTGCCGTTTTTAAGAGTCTTGTCTTGGATTTTTTAAAATCATAGTTACAATAGCTTTAAAATACATCTTGATATCTGTTAACATCAATGTTCTGTAAGATTGCTTTGGCTATTCTTAGACTCTAGAATAGAGTCTATATAGGATTAGTATTAATGTTAGATCAATTTCTACAAAAGAAACTTATTGGGAACATATTCAATCTACCAATATTTTAGTACTCTGAATTTACCTTTCTTTCATGTTTTCAGTGTATTATCAGGCTTGCATATATTTAATAATTACATATCTGTATTTATAATCTATAAGGGTTTTGGTAAATTTCCCATATATGATTTTACTAGGTTTTGAAGTGAGGGCTAAACTGGCCTCTGTATTCTTTGTTGGAATTTTGTAGGAGAAATCACATAAAAATTTAAGTATATGGAGGAATTTCATAGTTGTTTAATTAAATGAGCTATTACAGCTAAAGCACCTTGAAAGTGGCTGGTCTTTGGTAAGTCCCATAAAATATCAACATTCTTTTGTATATCCATCTTCCTTATGTCAATCATTAAGAGTTCATACAGAAAGGCAGCACGCTTTAAACCATCCCTTTTAACATCAACCTTCAGGATTTCAGCTTTCACTCAGTTATCAATTCCTACTCAACAGAAGATGTTTTTGTTTTGATTTTTCAACTATTCTATTGCCACAGATTACTACTACAGAAAAGAGGTGGGTTTTGACAGAGCAGTTTTCAGTAATGAATATCCGTGAGTTCTTTGTCATGAACTCAGCGTACACCTACTTAACTACAATCTTTTTTCCATACTGAAGTCACCTCCTATACTCGTTCTGATTTCTAGGTGCTGCCCTGTGCCCTTTCCTTGGCTGAATTAGTCAACAGCTACCTTCATTCTGAGGCTTTGCTCCCTCCTCACCCAAACCTGGCTTCCGTTTGTTCAGTCCTCTAAGTGAGACTCCTTGGCATGTCAGTAATTAAAGGTCATTTTTCTGTCCTCAACTTATGGGATCTTACGGGCATTTGGCACTACTGACCACACCATATCTTTGAATACTCAGAACATGCTCTACCAGAGGACTTCAAAAAATTCATGAAAAATAAAAAGGAAATTAAGTTTATTCTGGTGTTCGATGAAATCATGCATAGCTTGACTATATCTTTCATGAATGTTTTGAAGACCTCTGGTATTTACCATTTTGACCAACTCATCTTTACCTGTACAGCTTGGAAGGCTGCGATCTTCCATTGTTTCCAAGTGTCAAATTCAGAGATGATTTTTTGATGCCACTCAGGCACTGCAAATTCAACACTGTCAAAAACAGTGAAAGGCAGCACCATCTTCCTAGACCTGGACTCGGAAGCTCCTGACTCTGACCTCATAGTCAAGCACTTGTTAAGTCCTGCTCACGTGAATATCGGGTTGTTGGGAAAGTCATGACATGTTTTTCTGTTTTACCATGCAAACATGCAGCATGACTTTTCCGACAACCCGATGTGTTTCCCAGTGCCATTATTTGATAATTTATCAGGAGTACAACTGGCTTTAAGCATTTCTCGAAATACTCACACTCACTAGGGTACTTACTTCAGCCGGAACAATCTCATTCCCACTTGAATGTGGGGATATCCCTGTGAGTCTAGCTCTACCAAGAGAATGCAGTCTGAGTTCCACATACAGTAGTGAAATGACAAGTAAAGAGAAAAGAATCAAAAGATTGCTGTATCACCCACGAATAAGGTAAGAAGTTCTCTGAGTATATGAAGATACTGTTTAATTTTAAAGCTTGTAATTTACATAAGCCAGGGATTATAAATATCATCACACAAAATACATTTACTTAATACAAAACATTCTTCTCCAGAAGAGACCACACTAACAGATGTAGCTCAGCCCTCTGTTCTGACAGCAGTCCATGAATGGGCCGAAAAAGCACATCATTCCCGAGTATCCATTAGGTGCCAGCTAGGATGAGAAATCCAGTGGAGGACACGGTGAACCAAGGCGTCTGGTTAGTATGACCTCAGACAGGATATGGCAGATGCCAAAAAGATACAAAAGATACCTAAGATGTATGAGATGTGGGGGTGCAAAAGAAGAGGGAATCCCGTCTAGCCAAAGTGCGAAGAAAGTCTCTCCGGATGAGAGACTTTAGGAGAGCAGATTCTGTTCAGACAGAAACTGGAGAGAAAAGTACAGTCCGCAAAGAAGATGAACGGGGAGTAATGTAATTGGCACTGTCACCATGAGAGTGGCCTGCAAGAGGCAACACGCCTCACCTTGGGTGGTGGCAACTGGGTAAGACAACACTGAGTCGCCTACATTTTATAAATTTGGAGGTAAGGAAAACTCCAAGGAACTAAAAGGGCGCCTGGGAGACTCTTGAATATCAGGTTTAAGATGGAGATGAGAGAAATAAGGTAGCTAGAAGCAGGCTATCAGGATAAGGGTCCTGAAGCCATGGACAGAGAGAGATGATGATTAGTTTCCGAACTGCGGAGGTGACGAGGCCTGTAAGACATCCAGGTGAGGCTAGAAATGGGTGTACAAGGTTTGAGAAGCAAACTAGGAAAGATGGGCAAGACCTCGACATTCCTATCTTTATCATACTATGAATCCACAATCCATAAATTTTATCTAAAGCATTCTATAAGTCATACTGTTTGGCTTACACGACCCACATGCACTTTTAACATCCAACGTCTAACAATTAGTTTTGTTTTCCATATGCAGTTTACCAGAGGTTGATGCAGTCCTGCCCTTGTATCCCAGCTGGGGTTTGTGTCCTAACCTTGACACTGAGAATCCCAGTCAAGCTACAGAGAAGTACGTCTAAGGAACGGTGCCTTCTTACCAGGCAATTATTCCCGTTTCATTTTGAAATTCTATAGCAAAAGAACGCCACCACAGTATTGGTTCCATGCTGAAATACGGGGTTATTTTGCTGCTGAAAGTTTTCATTCAAATGACTGATCAGATCTCACTTGTCTGTTTAAAAACGTCTAAGTTAGGTCGTTATAAAATGACAGACTATGATAAACTGGATGATAGTGTGGAGCAAGACAATGAGGCATTGTTTACACAGAAGACTGAGTAACTGGTTTAACAAAAGGGTTCCTGGGTATCTATTGTATGTACAACTAAGAGATTTACTGGAGCTTTTATAATTTCTGCAAGGCTCTTTTCCAGCCAGCTTCATTAACTGGAAGTAAATCAAATCATGCAGAAATCTGGCTCAGCTAGAAAGCAACCCAGGAAGATACAAGATGAAGAAAAACAGACACAGGGCGATTAGGTTTAGAATCTTTGGCATTTTTCATAAACATTTTGCTTGAAGATTATTAATTTATGACCCAGAGGATCCAAAAAAAAAAAAAAAAACCACAAGATACAACCACAGTAAAATCACTTAAATCAGGTCTTTTCACCACAATACACACACTACGTTTATATGTAAAACTGCACAGAGTACATCTTGACAAAACACAGTCCTTGAATACTAGAGCAGAAAAGTAGTTGTATACATTTAATATATGCTCACTTACTTGGCTGGAGAGGTGCTTTGTAGGGTGGGGTTGTGCAGGAGTCAGATGCTGTCCGAGGAGGACTTGCGGTGTGACTTTCCTAAGTGTTCTGAAATCCATTTTTATTGGATATAGCTTATTTTGGTTCCCTATAGAGGAACCAAAGATCCATGTGGACAGCTAATGTGTTTTTACTTTCTGCTGAAAACATGTGGGCCAATGAAATGATAATTAGATAAGCAGCTTCATTTATTAGGGTCTTAAATTTGCTCAGAATCCATCCTTCATTCTTTCATAAAATTCTATTTTTTTAACCTTGATACAGCCAAAAAGTCAAGTCAGAAGAAAAGATCTTGTAAGGCCACTCAATCTTGGAGTCCCTCATGGGATGAGGAGTCCCTGGGGCCTTCCTGAAGCAGCATCTGTGTGTGGCCAACAGTGGACCAGAGTGCTCTCTAAGGTGAGGCGTTTACCAAAAACTTACATAACAGCCTCGCTGTCACAGCCGAAAGACTTCAAAGACTTGGGTGAGTTCAGGTAACTATTAAAAACTGTTTATAATATACGTTATTGGGACCGGTGATGGCTATCAAAGACATAACAACTCAGAGAAACTTACATGAACGATAATCCGAAAGGAGTGTGGGAATGGGAATGAGAATCTTACTGAGAAGCTGCTGGAGCCATGAACACAAGGTCAAAGCCATTCTGGAATCCAAGCAGTCTCCTGGCTGTTCAGACTCCTGGCAGGCTTGCTTAGTCCTAGTTAAGAAGGGGTGTTAAGTCTTTCACGGTCTCGGACTGTTTCCGTCAGCCTTCTATGCAACCAGGACACCCACCCACACACCCGGAAGTGCACACGCGCATCTGTGAGGGTGAAGGAGGGGGCACGGTACAGAGAAGGCTCCAGGAGGACACCACGAGCACCATCGGAACGGCCACGCACAGTAGCGGGGGCTGGTCTCCGAAGGCCTCGTGTGTCTCAAAGCGCGCTGCGCTTCTTCCGAAGGGGGCTCAGGCTGCCGCAGAGTTTGAGTTCTGCATACTGCACCTGTGAAAACAGACAGACGTGAGGCTGGCGGCTAGGTAACCCTAGCTCACCACAGCGTGTGTTAATGGCTCCCCAAGGACAAACCAAGGCAGAGGAAGGAAGGTTCAAAGGTAATGAATCATTTTCTAAACACAGGAACGTGGGGGGATTAATTGCAGGAAGGATTGGAGAAGTCATGCATCATTTCTTGAAACGAAAATATTAAAAGCAGATTTTTCTAATGAGATGCATAGCCCTCTACCTGCTCGCAGCATTGCTAGAGGATCTTAGTTCTGTGCACGCCAGTTCTCAACCATCAGTAAGCTTAATAATTGCCTCTTGGGAATGTTTATCTTAGTATATGACCCAGCACTTAGAACTGTTCGTTTAAAAAATCTGAAATCTTGGAGGAGGGGAAAG